ACAAGCTTTTAAACTCAGTCATTTAATAACATCCACAATGGCAGAACTCTGTGCGATACTCTGTGCTTTACGCTTCACATGTTTACTGCCAGGTCCACTTCGATGGGTAGTTATGAGTGACTCACAGTCCTCATTAGTTTTTTTTAAAAGAATTAGCTTGGGAAACAAAGCTAGTGAGCTCGCATATGAATACAGAGGACGTACGCTTTAGCAAAATGTTTAAACCACACTATAATGTTCTAGTGGGTGCCAAGCCACTGTGGAATCACAGGAAATGACATAGCTGATCACATTGCACGCGCAGCACATGAAGAAAATAATATATCACTGCTACCTCTATCGATGAGCGATTCACGTTTTTAATAAATAAGATGAGCTGTCAACTGTCTAAGAAACCTGGTTCAAAAATGGTGCGCAAATCTCTCTGTTGTATAACATTGATCCTGGTATAGAATCGAATATTCCGTTAGAGGTTAGCCGATCGGTAGAAACAGTCATCCATAGGCTTCGACTTGGTAAGGCCTACACGAAGGCTTTCCTGTATAGATTAAGGAGAGCTGGCAGTCTCACCTGCTCATGTGGAGAAGCTCAAGAAGATGTGGAGCATATTCTTCTGCATTGTAAAAATCATGACGTACCTCGAAAGAACCTTTTTCAAAACCTCAATTCTTTAGATAAGCGACCTCGATCAATTGCAAAAATCTTGGGTCCATGGCCAAAAGGAAAGCTACAAGCCACTGCAGCACGTGCAGTCGTTCACTTTCTGGAGGAATCAGAAATAGCTAAAAAGTACTAAACAAGAAACAAATGTTAACCGCGGTATAGTTTCAAAACAGTATTTTCCTGCTTCACTACAATATTTTTGGAAAAACCTTTCTGAAAACAGGTCAGTATTAAAGCGACAAGATCACCTTAGACGTTTTATTGAACTTTCACGTTTTTGTGTGAACACTTATATTGGCGTGATTGCTTGTGTGGATTTCTTCTGTTTTGTTGTTTTTACAAACTCAGTATGGTGCGGACACAGTTCTACGCAGTGTGGACTTATTTCTGTGTTGTGTGGACACTCAGTGTAGAAAAACGTGAACTCATTGTGTAAGTGTTGTGCTATGTACATATGTATAGCCTTGTGTTTGCTACTGAATGTGCGATGTTGGCTTTTGTGCAAGAGAAGAGGAGTAGCCGGCGCCACGCATTGGCACCAACCTCTCCTTACATATATTTAATAAAAAATGCTACAGCAGATGTTATTCCAGAAAGCAAAGCGGCAAAATGTATCGTAATGTAGTAATTAGGTGTAATTGACAAGAAAAGTAAGAAGCTAACAACTTGAAAAAGAAGCCTTCACTTGCACAAAAACAGTAAAGCTTGAGAAAAGAAGTTTGCAGCCATGACCAAACAATCGACCAATTCGAAAATAAAAATCACGTTCTAACGGGATTAGGTACGGAAATCAAGAAGAACCGAACGGAAAAACTGAAACGCTGCTTCTAACTAGTAAAAAAAAATCATTGTCGACTTGCTAGGCTTTGGATATCTAAGGAATCTAGAGAACACACAGACTTGAAAAATGACTAAAGACTTTTCCCACAAAAACAGAGCTGCCATCCTAAAACTCATTGATTAGCGCGACAAAATCAACGCCTTCAAGGAATGCTCCAAACTAAATGTCTCCGGCTTTTCTATCAGTGAAGACTATTTGCGCAGTGTACTTGACATAAAAAAAAAGGTCTGGAATCGAACAAAACATAATCGCGATCGAAAAGAGGAAGTAATACTAACCTACAATATTATGCGCTTATATGGGCGACTGTTTGTCCGGGCCGAAAAGCCCAATGCTATTGTTGAAATGAAAGCGAAAACTTGGCAGATCCCGCCTACAGTGGGAATCGATGATATCTGAAGCACAAATGAGGAAGGCTTATATGTCACTTTAAAATCAGCACAACTTTACGAGGTGGAGGTAATTATACCGTACATGACTTCCTTGTCATGATTATCCTGTTTGTACGTGTCATTACGCTTCGTCATCAATTAACGTCACGTGATATCAACTTTGGTATATGTGAAGCCAGCAAAATGGCTGTGAGTGCATCAAGAATTTGGCATGTAGTTATGTTGCTACATGACGCGCATCTCATGGTTACGTTTGCACCAGTCAGACACCTTCCTCATCCATTCACGCCCTGTATCGCCAAATTTGGTATATGTAAAGCTAGCGAAATGGTGGCGAGCGCGATATTGAGAGCATAATATACTCGAATGTTACGTCGACGGGCACGCAGGCTGGGCTCAGCAACGCTAGCACTTCATAGTCTGACGCCAAGGTGCGACTGGCACGATCAGCGTTCGTCGGTGCAGCTTTGCGGTAACTAGCGCGAAATGCGATACGCTGCATTTCGCGCCAACGACGTCATCCAGACAGCAGCGCGTCTGCCCCTCTTCGTAACGGAGGGACGCTGGGTGCGCTCAAACGCGCATGTGTCAAGGCAACGCAGCGTGGCGCGCACCTACGAACATATGACCGGCAGATCGGCGCCTGACGTGGCACTGCTGGTGTGATGAGACCCTTCATGGTCTATCAGGTTGTTGGGTAAACTACCTATAGTTGGTCTTGCTCATCCACATAAAGCTGTAAAGCTTGTTTTTTTTTTTTCAACAAAGCTAATGAAAGTGGTATCATGACTTTTCTTGTTTGCGAACGCAATTATTTCACTAATATATGTCTTAGTAAACTGTCTAATATTGCCAAGGTCTGGTTACACTTCAAGGAAATCATGCATTATTGCCTTCAGAATTTAGTCCCCACGGTTTATTAAAATACTAACAAACGAAATCTATAAAAATCTGAGAAATATTCCACATAAACCGAAACACTGAGACTCAGACAGCGCAGTAAAACTCTCAGTATTTTAGTTAGCAATGTCGCCTCGATTCTTAAAACACTCAGCTAAAGTATGCGATAAGGTCGCCGAAACAACAGATTTGAATTAATACCTGACCTAGTTTTTTTTAATCTTGCTTGAAAATTTTTGGCCGTACCTGAAGGCAAAGGAAAAATTAGGTGTCCACATGGTAGCCGCTGACGGTATACTTAAGTACTCTTTTAATAAATACTTTTAGTCCGTCTTCACCGTTCACAATAACAAAAACAACAAAGCTAGCCAGACTTTTACGCAACCATTTGTACATGGGAAACGGACCACTAGTCCTGCAGTTTCTCGAAAGAGGCTATCTCTGCTTTTAAACTTCGACAGGAGAAAAGCAGTGGTTGGATGACATATCTAATATCTTTTTTTAAATGCTTCGCTGAACTTTGTAGCAGTTACCTTTGTTTAATGTACCAGAAATCAATCGAAGAATTTCGCATTCCCTCAGATTAGAAAAGTGCTAATATAACTCCCGCACACAAGCCAAGAAATAAATATTGCTCAAACAACTGTCGGCCTACCTCTCTTACAGGTAGAGGAGGTAACATTTTTGAGCATATTATCTCATAAATTTCTAATTCAATAAGCCGAGATAAATGAACTACTCCACTCTTCGCAGCACGGCTTTAGAAGTGGATTGTCAACTGTTTCGCAGCCTGTCCAAGTTCTACATATTGCTCAAAGTATGAACAACCACTTACAATTTGACGTAATTTTCCTTGATTTCTATAAATTGTTTGACCGTGTGTCGCACCGGAAACTGATCTACAAAATTGAACAGCAAATTGGTAGTGGATTTATCACGAAATGAATCACCCAATTTAACTGACCACGACATATATAATTGTCTAACTTGAGAGACACGCCTCTCAAGTTATTATTGGGCTATCTGTTGTTCCCAAGGCTTCTTCGCTGGAACCATTTTATTTTTACTCTCGATGAATAATATAGCCATCCAGTGTGAAGTCAAAATAAAGTCATACAGAATTTCGACCAAATAACGCTCTACGGCGCTTCAAACAGAGTATATCAGTGATGTCGCAATTGGAATATAACCAATAACAAAAGATAAAAACCAATTAGATATCAGTTCCTAAGAAAGAAATCCCACTTAGCTTCATATAAATTTCTGCCAGCACTGAAATATGTTCTGTGAACGAGTATGGGTATGTGGGTATCCACAATACGTCTGATTATAACTGGACAACGCACGTTCAGTATGCAGCAAAAAGCAATGAACAAGCATTTTTTTCTTAAACGAGATAAAGCTTGTGATTTATGTGTCATTTATACAAGTAATAGTAGAGTATGACAACTCTTGAAAGGGTGCACTATAAAGCAGTACGGTTCATCTACATTCAACAAGGGTGAGAGATTCATCCACTGAGCTACTGTGACACGCAGGGCTTGTTCCTCTATTCAGTAGATTTAGGCTTCATCGCTTAAAGTTTATCTACTTCCTCTTTCACAATTCATTCGGAATTAAGGCATAAAACTACATCAGTATAAGTCACTCTAGGATCAGCTGACAGAAACACCTACTCACTATTGATAAATTCTTTTGCAACAACACTTCTTTTGTTCCTTTTTTACGCTATCGGAGCCGTAGTGCAGTGCTCGATACACCTCCGCCGTGTTACTAACGACAGTACGAAAATTTTAAGACCACGCTGACCAATTCATTGTAACACCGATATAGATGCTTAAGAATGTTGGATTGGTTCCTAAATAAAATACGTACTGTTCGTTTGATGCAGTAAGCTAATGTCTGTAACGTGTTATGTAACCAATATTTTTCTAGCCTAGGCATATATTTACGCAATGGAATTGCATTTATGCGTTTGGTATGCTTGTTATTTGTTGCTCATTACATCTCGGTACCTATGTACAAACTCTAATGACGTACGTGATTCCGCCCTTACTTGCACTTTCACTGTAGCTTCTTAGGGTCCTTGCTTGCTCCTTATTTAGGAGGCGCACACCCCTGTAAAACCTCATTTTTGTTGGCTGTTTGCCTAAATAAATAAAAACACAGAGAAAGCCTTACTTCTAAATACATGTCATACTCACTCAAGCACCAAGGCACGGGAGATCAGCGTGCAGTAGTAGGCAATGCCGGAAGCCAAAATCCAAAAGATTTCGCGCCACGTGACACACCACAGCGCGAACATCAGGCGACCTTTCGATCCTCGAAGTATTCTGCGAAGGGTACGAGATTAAGATAGGGAAGGAAAACAGGTGGTCAACATTTCAGGAAACCCCGTTCTTCGGCGGGCTTTTTAAACACCCCATCGCTGGGCTGCTATACGTGGAATATAACGTGGTTAGGAATTTGGTTTTTATCTTTCAAAATCTGGCTGCTCAGTAATGTTTCTGGAAGAACAGTCACACAGCATTATTGCGGCAAAACTATTTCAATTCAATTCATTTCATCTGAAGGATGAGGCTAGGCTCGGAAAAATGGGATGTGTGTCATTTGACGAGCCCAAGCTCCCTAATACGTGGCAAGCAACGAGTACACGCCGAAAAATATGCGATATAACTTAGACCGTATAAATACGCAAATAAACTATATCATCAAATGTTTGACGCAGCACAAAAAGTGCGCTTACAAATTTTCAATTCCCAGAAACTAATAGAGGCAAGCAAAGTCTTACCGGATATGTTCGGAGGTTTAATACAAAGCATGACATATATGACATAAACACAAAATACTACATGTATATTGTTACGCGCAGAGCACACGCAGACATGTACGACTGAAGGAGACGTTTATTAGGTCATGAAAGTGAGAGCAAGTGCGGCCAACAGGTTGATTCTCACAGCGTCGTCGCCTTCGCTCTAGCTGCCGCCCAGCACAAGCAGCACGTTCGCTGATTTTCGTTTTCCTCCGCAGATACGTGAAAAATTTCTCTCCAGGCAGACGAAGCCCACCAATCGAAGTAGGTGGAACCTCTTGGCGCGAAGAACTTCAAGCAAGCAACCTAAGCAGCTTGGCTTTTAGCAGCTGTTAGACCTCTTGCCATGTGGCGAGCTAATGTGTACGTGACCTAGCGGAGTTTATTCAGAACAACAAACGGTTCATCATATGTGGTCAAACATTTCTGGCATAACCCGCGCTTCCACACCTAGGTCCATAGTCAAACTAAGTCACTGAAACGATAAATCATAGGGTGGCGGCCTGCCAATAAAAAAAAATCTTCAGAATGAGTGAGAATTGATCCTATGCTCTCTGCGTGACAATCAAGTGTTATACCACAGAGGCACGCCATTGGTAAAAACTGATTCGATAAAAAAGTATGCATTTAATGTAGTAGAAGGTCTCGTTAGTCCAGACAAAAAAGCGAGGCCTTGCGTTTACACTTTTTTGTTCATGTAGTAGAAGGAATTTCTTCACTCCATGCAATATTAGGTGGCACAAGCGTAGAATCACGTCAGGCGTCTAAACGTGTGAAATCCACAACGAGTGACTATTAGAAAGGTCCAACAAATACAGGGCGCTCAAAATTTGATCACACGTTGCTTTGAGCACGCGTAGAGGCTCCTTTGCTGTTTCACACATAGAACAATCGTCACGCAGTGGTTACTTCGCAACTGTAATTGCAGTAGACATTCTACGATAGTTTGAAGCGGCTGGTGTTACACGCGCAGTCATTCGTTCCCTCACGGCATGGTTGAAGCATACGCCGAGACTGAAGCTAGTCTAGTAATTGAGAATGTGAGTCGCACGGGTTGCGGTTACGCTATTGTAGTCTACTCTTGAAGGCGAAGCTCAAGCATCCTCGAATATGTAATTGTATTTTTGTAACCCTTGTGCAATTGTTGTCACACAATGTACATTATACCCAACGGCGTCACCTGCGCCATATACGCTAATAATAATAATAATAATAATAATAATAATAATAATAATAATAATAATAATAATAATATAATAATATAATAATAATAATAATAATAATAATAATAATAATAATAATAATAATAATAACAATAACAATTATTATTATTATTATTATTATTATTATTATTATTATTATTATTATTATTATTATTATTATTATTATTATTATTATTATTATACAGATCCATAACAAATACAAAGAAACAGGCCTTTCTAAGTCCAAAGGTATTGTGCGACTAGGCCCAGCTGAGCTGGTTACAATGATGTGGATACAAGGTAACAAAAACTATTGTTACTTCTTTGCCAACAAACAGACTAATGATTGACAGCATCGCTTCTTCACATGCAGTAAATAAAAAGAGGAACAAACGAGAGACTTAGAGCATACGTGACATACAAGTAGACCATGCTATTTTACAGCTCAGTGAGTATATTCTTTATTTGCTGTTTTGAACTCGCTGAAAACAGCTTCACATAGCTCATTGAAAATTCTTAGAATACATACACATTCACGCTTCTTCATATCTGGTAGAAAACCGGGGCAGTATAAAACTCTTTTTTTCCTTAGGGGTTGACGCGTTACAAATGTTGTTTCAATGTCGTCACACCAATTATATCTCAGCACAAATGTTTTACTAAACAAATCATGGAATGCATGATAGCCCAAATCTCTAAATTTAGTACTGGCATCTACCTTAAAACCGTGAACAACACTTTTAAGATATTTCTAAACAAACTGTCAATGCCTGATTTCCAGCGTTCTATGCAAAATGCGAAAATTGTAATACCGTATCTCACTACACTATAAGCTTAGCAAATTAACTGTCATTGTTTGACGGGTAGGGGCACAGAGCTTTCTGTATTGAAAAGCAGACACGCCACACTTGTCAGTTTGAAACAAATAAATGACATGTGATGTTGTCAAGACATACCACTATGAAAAATTACGCCTAGGTATCTGAATGTTTCAGCATTTTCCACTGTAGAACTTTTGCATGGGTTGCAATGCTCGGTGCGAAGAAGATTCGTATGTCCATTTTTTTGTGTTCTTATAGGGCTTCGAAAGCATATCAGTTTATTTTTTTCGTTTACAATTAGGCAGTTTTCTTCAAACCATATCATTGTATTACGAATTTCATCCAAAAGAGCATTATTCGCCCCTTCAAAATGTATGTGACAGGTTAATGCATCATTGCATTATGAATTTCACCCTGAAAAGCATTATTCGCCCCTTCAAAACGTATGTGACCTGTTAAAAGCACCGTATATCTGCATAATGGTATACATTGGATTTACAAATTCCTGAGGGGAAGACATTCAAAAATAAATTAGGTAACTATGGAGACTACACCGTTACTTGTGCCACACCAGCAGTAATATATTTCTTATTACTAATTACTTTCCTATATTACACCTGTGACCTGTCTTGTAAGTAATTATAAAGCACATCATAAAAAGACTCCATAAAGCCCAAACAAAATAGGTTTTCTAACAAAACGGTATATATAACTGTTTCAAACGCGTTTGCCAAGCCTAAAAACAGAGTACAACAGAACAGGTTCGCGTCTAAAGCCGAATATGCTTCATCCCTAAACTTGTTATACTTGCTATCGCAGTACTATATTGTTATAGGACTGCGATTATCTATAAAACCAAAGTGCCGGGTTGTTAATAGTTAGAATTTCTGTAAGAAGGACGTCATACACTGAAGCAAAAGTTGTTCTGGTAACTGGGAGAATATAGGCAAGGTAGAAATTGGTCTGTAATTTTCTATATCATCTATTTTTCCTGCTTCAAACAATGGCTTAACTATTGCCGTTTTTATTTTCTCGGGATTTGATGGACTGATTCAAAATCCACTCAACATGACGTACTTCTGCTGCCGCTTCAAAGTTGTGTCGAAGCATTTTCGCTTCGAATTATCGTACAATAGACTACCCAATGCCAAAAACAGTCTGACAAATGATGTGAGAATAAAGCACACCGTCCATCGTAACCGCTTTGCACGTCGCCGCCGCCGATAACGACACGCGCAGTCCGCGTCGCTGGAGCAAGATCGTACTGCAGTGCCACTAGTTCTCTTGACCACCCCGTGCTCCACATCTCCGGCGGAGCTTTCAAACTGAATTTATTCTAGTAACGTAGATTTATACCTACCACTTGCCGCTGTTGGTGGGCATCTCGAGGAAGAAGGGCTATCGTGGTTTTAGCAATATCAGCAAGATGGTGCAATGAGCACACGGCGGCTTTTATTTCTCACGCCTACTTTGGCCCGCGGAAAGGAAAAGAGTGGACAAACTTCGCGTGCTCATGACCACCACGTGGCCCACCTCTGCAGGGAAACTTTAAAGCTATGTTTATTCTAGTAACTTTCATTTATACCTACCTCTTAGCGCTGTTGGTGGGCATCTCAGAGGGGGGGGGCTATCGTGTTTTCAGCATTATCAGCAAGATGGCGTATTGAGCACACAGCGGCTTTCATCTCTCACGCAAACTTTGGCCCATGGAGCGGAGCTGAATGATTGATCTCTCACGCACCTTTATCTCCTGGTGGGGAGGGTCATACGTATTGGCTGGCGTTAAGCTTGGAGCGATTTTGATTAATTTACGGGGTGCACAATGGTCACTTCAATTGTTGCACAGCCTCTATTTGCGAAAAGGGCGCGCTTATTAAACACAGCGAAGTAAGAACTGAGACGCTTATTCGCATATATCTGAACCTGAGGGCACGTTTTGTGCGCCATTTGTGTGTGAGAAACGAGGGGCAGTATCGATCTGCTTGAAATTCTGCGCATGACCTTCCAAACTGTTGCAATCGCGTTCATTGCTTCGCCTTTGCGGTAAAGCTGTGACTTTTTTTGTCACTCGTTCTCCTGTTGGTGAATCTGTACGGGGATTCTTGCTCGACGTTATTCGGTAGCAAAGCATTATTTCTGATACGCACACACCAGCTTAAGTTTACTGCAGTGTCAAATGTTTCTTACATATATGAAAACGCAAGAAAAAAAAATCCAGAAAGAAGCACTCCGGCGTGTGGAATCGAACGTGGGGCCTCTGCGTCGTGAATGCGAGGCATTAACCACTGAGCCACCAGAAGAATGTTCCTCGTCTTTCAAATGGCAAGCTATTTAGAGCTACCATTTGCCGCTGCTGCGTTTTTGGCATTATCAGAAAGATGGCGCGATGAGCGCACGTCGCCACATCGCACAGCGGCGTCCTCTCTAATCTCCTACACGTACTTTGCCCGGCTTAGAGAAGGGGAGCGACGCTCCCTCGCGTGCCCTTATCACGCAGTGATGAGGAGGCGAGGACCGTATGCCTTGGCTGGCCTAGGGTTTTTGGTGGAGCGATTCTGCTGTAGTTAACAGGCGCACAAAGGTCACTGCAATTATTGCAGTCTTCTTTCACAAAAAGCGCACGCTTTTCGGACTCAGCGAAGTTACAAAGGAGACACTTATTCACGCGAATCCGTACCTGTGAGTAAGCTTCGTGCTTGTGCGTAATTTGTGCGCGAGAAACGCGGGGCACGTATCAATCTGCTTTTCATTCTGTGCGTGACCTTTCAAAATGTTGCTATCGCAGTCATTGCTTCACTTTTGCGGAAAAGCTGTGACTTTTTATTTTAATAATTAAGACCCTCCATAGTCTTAGGCAACTTTCTTTCTATTTACTATGAAAAGTCTTAATTTGAAACAATCAGGCCCCACGAGAAAAAATTCTTGGCTACGTTCCTGGCCAATAATTGGTCGCAACAAAGATCTGTGTACCCGAAAACAGAAGGTAAGACTAGAACACAACACCTGCTCTTTTCCGTTTTCTTGTCACGTAACTGCTGTCTTGTCTAAAGCACACTCGAATAACTTGCAGTTCACTAGCGAAGGTAAGATATCGCTGTATCGCTGCTGATTGAGCAATTCTGTGGAATTACCTAGCATCACCCGTCTGTTCTTTTTTTTTCGTTTGCAAATGTACAGTGTCAACTTTTATGAAGGAGAACACGGGAGCGCGTGCCCTTAGTGCTCCTGCAGCTGCTGGCAGCACGTTCAAGCGGCAGCGAGAGCCACAACTGTGTCTTTTTGTGCTATCTCGCGGTGCGCAAAAGAACCATTTGTTGCTGATATGGAGCCAGCTGCATAATTGCTACCCCCTCCCTCTTCAAAGTGGCTACGCAAGAGCAGGTAATTGTCTTAAAGAGTGAGGGGTTGCAATCTTGTCATTCTGTACCAGCAACGATTGGTTGTATGCTCGCCATGAGATGACACAAAAAGAGACTGTGGTTGCTCTCATTCCCGCTAGAACGCGCTTGCGAGCAGCCGTCGGAGTGCGCAGGCTACGCGTCACCGTGTTTGTTTGCATAAAAATCGAGAGTGTAGATCTCTCCACAGCGGTGCAAAACAGGAGGTGCGTGGACGTCATGCTAACTACCTGCAAAGCTGCATTTTTTTTGCCGCACAGTCTGCAGAGTTTGTAGGGTGCTCTCCCTCACATAAACAGCCCCTCTTGTCTTCAGAGCTGCAGTCGCGACTGTCATGGTTCTCTCCCCACCAGCGGCATTTAGCAACGAACCAGCCCACTTTCGCGCTGGCTGTGTTCATGACGCCAACAAATCAATCACTGTAGAGGTTCAGGGGAAAGTGGCTTTAGCGTATAGATGGGCGGGCACGCCTTCATTTCTGAAAGTCTGACTGTTGCTAAAAATGTCGCTATCACTGATTTGGTTAGAAATTGCCTGCTGTCTCTCCTATGGTTGCACCCGTAGACTGAAATTACACTTACCACTGAAAGTAAATCCAGTATTTCTGCAAGTGTCAGGCTGGTGTCTACACCGCCAGCTGTACTGTAGAGACAAGGCTGCGGTGTTGTATGCAAGGTGTGCTAAAATGAACGGGCTCACTGGTTGCGCTGTAAGCCTGGAACACTCAAGAGATTTACGAATGCATTTCTGATCTGCAGAACAGCACGCGATGCCTCCGTGACTGAACTGGGAGACCTCAGTGATCGGCTGAAATTGCGAAGTAGCTTTCTGAAGGTCCAATGGATTGGTTTTTGGGGTTTTATTCAGTATAGACTAACCTCCCCTTCCACTTGGTACATACCAGAGCCACAAAGACGCGGAGGGCTCCACTACACAACAAAACTCAATTGACCAATGTTTGGCCGGTATAGACGCTATCCAAGGGGAGCGCCTTTGAGCAGGAGAGGGAAACTACATCTAGAAGGAATGACGCACGTGAGTGCTAAAAGAAAGGTACAACGTATTGAGATAAACAAGCTCTCGTGTAGAAATAAAAATACTGCCGCCCGATTCTAGGCCCGGGAATCTTCTTCACAGTCCAACTTGTAGAACAACGCTGATTGTACTTCTTGGTCTTGGCGTAGGCGCGCACCTAAACAGCAGCTGCGCATAGCAACCAGCGCCAGTTCGGGAAGTGGGAAGCGAAAGATCTTCTTTGCATTCAGGACAAGAGCCGCTCTTGCCCTCGATCCATCACGTGCAGGTAGCGACAGATAGATAGGCAGGCAGACAGACAAATTTATATATGTATATGTATATATATATATATATATATATATAGAGAGAGAGAGAGAGAGAGAGACGGAGAAATAGATAGATAGATAGATAGATAGATAGATAAATAGATAGAGAGGTAGATAGATAGATAGATAGATAGATAGATAGATAGATAGATAGATAGATAGATAGATAGATAGATAGATAGATAGAACTACTCTTAGTACTTGAAGCACGCTAAGAAATGCTTTGAATGTATTATGTCTTAGTAGCATTTAAATTAAGGCTGGTTGTCGGTTGCACTTTTGGACACTATTCTATTCTTTCTTTGCTGTTCTCCACAGTGCCCACAGATGATTTTGCAAAAAAGCTAACGCAAAGGCACATGAACGATATCGAGAGAAAATGGTTGAAGTGCGGCTAGTATTGAGGGACTTGAAATTTCAGACAGATTTTACGAAATTAGCTTACCCATCCTTGGCTTTAGAATACAGCGTTGCTACAGTTGTGGCACACTGACTGTGCAGGCATGGCTTCACAAATCGGTGAATATTTGTCTTCGATCGACCGATGATATTCTTGAGGCACCTGAAGAAGATTGATCTTGTATACAATAACCAACAAAGCAGAACACTTAAGGACGGGTTGGGCAAAGACGGGCAAAAGGAATAGGTGTCGACACCACTAAACCCGAATTAGAACTGAAGAGGCACACAGAGACGAACAGATGCCTCAACACTCGTCTATCACGTAGAACGCCACGAGTACCGACACATAAATAGGTTCGCCTACTGCATGCACACTTCGTGACTGCTTTACTTTCTGCCCTGGAGCGCCTAAGGGTCGTTCCATGCGTTTCCCGCAGAGCCACAACGCACGTGCCGGGACACCTACCCACGCAAGCGGAGAACGAATAAGCCAATTGGCCACGCAGAGGAAGGTGAAAGAGCGTCTTCAATTGGCTTATTTTTTCCCGCTTGCGTGCGGTATAGGTGTTCCGGCACGTGCGTTGCAGCTGTGCGAGAAGCGCGTGGAACAGCCCTTAGCCAACAAAGAAATGAGCACCCGTACGAAAATTGTCAGCGGCGACGCGCCGGTGTTTCCACCTTCGGCGGCGGCGCTTCAACAGCACGTGGTTGATCGTATGAGCGGATAGGCGGCGTGGCGGGTGGGAGGGGGGGGGTGATAATAAGATTCGGGAGTTGGTGGGGATAGAAACATGGGCCTGGAATTTTCGGCGGACATCTCTTTTTCCGAAGGGGTTAATCAGTTTCAGTGATAGCAGCATGTCTAAATCCTAGTTATTTGCTGTATCAGTTTCAGTTTGCCGTATCAGTTGCACATACAAATTTTCCTTCAAGACATAGAATTTAACAAAATGCATCGCTACTCAACTATTTTTTTTTCCTATTAGTGTGTATTGAGTCGGCGCAGATCCCTATCAACCTCATTCCGAAAATGCACGTTATGCAGAAAGAAAACGTAAAAAATTCCCAATTTATCTAACGAGCACAAATCTAACGAGCACAATATTAGAGGTTCATATCACCTGGTATGAAGGTTTTATCTTTACCGGGTACGGTGTGGAAAATGGCACGAATGATATGGGTACTGGACCTTTCAAACCAGTGTGAATTCTCTTATTTATGCAGGAGGGTTACATGATTGCAAGTGCGCAGATGTTTGAAATGGGCTCCAGCAATACACATGAGCATGTGAAGTATGCGAGAAAAGCTGGTTATAGAAACGAAATATGAGCAGTTTTGTTTTTTAAAAACAGATTATAAACAAATGTGTCATTTTGGGGGGGACGTGACCAAACAACCAATGGATATTTGAGTCTGACGAAAGTCTTATCGGTTGTCAGTATGAATTTTTTGTTGAGTCAACGTGAATCGGTGGAACCAAAGTTTCCGAAGAGCTTGTTGCTGATTTTTTCAAGGTGTCCGTGCCATTATAAAATTCTGTGAGAGTTACACCAATGTCCTTAAACTACATAACACCTACAAGGCTTACACAGTCAATAGCATATTTAATATAATGGTTACTTATTATTTGAAGATGTAAGAAGGCTGTGACTACAGCCTTTTGACATTTGTCATGTTTCACTCTCGTTACAAAACGCCAAAAAAACACTAATCAGCGCAACCTAACCTTGAGTGTAAGAAATGGTTCTGCAGATAATGCAGTCTTCTGCATACACCCCATATTTATTTGAGCATTATTGATAATTTCTTCTCTGTCATTTATAATATTGATAAACAAAAGCTGACCAGGCACCCGGCTTTGAGGCTTGGTGCCTGGTCATCGTTTTGCCTCTCCATATCACACGTACGTCAGATGAGTTCGTGTGGCTAGAGTTAACAAACTTCGGGTGCCACAGCAAGTAATCTGCTATCCAATCAACCTGCTTGTTGTCGCTGAAAATTTGTGAAAAACGTGAAAGTTGAACAAGGCAAACTGTGTCGAAGACTTTTGAATAGTAAATGAATATGACATCAACCTGTCTTTGGTCGTTAAAGAGAAAAGCGATATCGTGCGTAAACTGAAGCAACTGTGTAATACTAGAATAGCCAGCAGGAGAGCCATATTGTGATCGTGAAAGTATACTGTGTACATTTAGATATTCTACGTTGTACGTGTGAACGATATGCTCTAATTATTTAGAATTGGTAGAAATGGATACTATTAACCTCTGATTCGGTATTACTTGCTTGTATCCAGAATAAATAAAGGCACGACGTTTGCTAATTTCGATAGCTGGAGAACTGTTGCAGAGGTTATTGATACTTTGAATATCACTGTGAAATAGAAGCCCTAACATAGTGGTCTACCGACTAAGGTACTCAGCTGCGGCATTCGCAATAGCTGCGAAAATGCTCTAGGCCTATGTGCTCAGATTTGGGAGCACATAAAAGAACCCCCGGGTTGTCAAGATGCCTGCAGTCCTCCACTATGGCGTCTCTCATAATCATATGGTGGCTTTGGGCCAATAAATTCCACATATGAATCCGTCATATAGTCAGCGAACCACCCACGAATACCGATTTAGAAACACATTTGCAATATCATCTGGGCGTTTATAAACTTCAAGGTTTAGTGTAAGGTTATTAAGGATCAATCAATGGCAGGCATCACATGCGGAATGATGTGCCCTCCCTACGATGGGGATGAACAGCTCGTTTATTCATGCCTCAGCAGTGTTCCTCGATAGCGCTTTTACAAGTGGTAAGGGCCTATAGATTGTGAGTACAAAAACCATTGATTTACACTTTATGCGTAATACGACAGTGACAATAAGGAAGCCTGTGGAGAGTGTTCAATCTCGCAATTTTCTTAAAATAAAAGATACACAAGAACTATTGATGTGAGCTGAGCTTTTTTGTGTGGTGCCCCATCGTCTTTGCTGTAAAGAATTCACTCGTTGTTTAAATAAAATATTCCGGAGCCTCTTCTTTTCGTTTTTTATTCATTACACTGCCCTACAATTCCTTCACTGCAGTTTTTACTGACTATATCTCTTTGACTTTTATCTCTTCATGAAGCACGGGAGCAATGTGGGCGCTGCACATTGAGCCTATTAGGATTTCGAGCTTGAGGGGCTACACTCTGTTGCTTCTTTCTGCGCAATCATTCACCCACGAAATCACGCGTAATATCAAAAGCTCAACGCGTGTGATAATCATGCGAGACGCGAGAAATAGCGGGAGGAGAGGGGAGGGGAAGGCATAACGAAACAGGGCAGAAAACAATTTAAAACTTATATTTCTTGTATATGAATCATTCGAGTGTGTGTGCCTTATTGATGTCGCATGAATCCACAATATCACATCACTAAGAGCGTAAAAAGATAAGGAAATGACAAGAGGAACGAACAATTCAATTGTGTACTCTTATAAGCTGTTTTAGAGCCTTTGTTTAGACAGGACATGGAAACACAGACACGGGAAAGCAGTCAAGACTTTGCAAACGCTCCCCTGAAAAAAAGCTGCCCGAATCTTCTCATGGGAGGACTGGAGTAATCGCGGGAAAGTGGCGTAATTGGGTATGGCTTTCGAATGCCTAATTGGTAAATCGCCTTTATTATTATTATTATTATTATTATTATTATTATTATTATTATTATTATTATTATTATTATTATTATTATTATTATTATTATTGAACAAAGCAGAAGCGTTGCCTTTTACAAGTCGTGGGATGCTGAGGTTGGGTTGTGCCCCACCACTGGTTGAAGGTACTATTGCTTTCGGCGCATCAAGTCAATTCAAACAAAGCATCAAATAAAGCGATAGCCAAGTATTATTGCCTACGACTTAATTCCGAGCACCTGCTCAGCCGCTGTGTAGAGGTCTGTGTAGAGGGCACTGCCAGTGTTCCTTGTAGCATGTGGCCAAAAGGAGGCACTGCTGTCCAGCAAGTGTATATGTGGGATTTGGGGTGAGGGAATGAATTTTTTTTTGGGTTTCCGCTTGCCAGCAGTCCGCCTCATTTCTCGGCGCCCGGGCTGAAAATGATGTCAGAATTGACATCACGCTGTTAATGCGACATGCCTAACAACGCGGTATCGACCACCGCTGAAGCCAAAGTGAACAACGTTCAGGCGGGAATATCTAACCTGCGTCCTCCAGCAAACTTCATTTCTTCTAATCTCGGAGAATGCCCTACGTAGATTAAAACGTCCCAAAACTACGCCTTCGTGGCCGGCCTGCACGATACCAGCGATGAGGCCCAGGTACGGACACTTCCCGCAAGCAAGATCCATTCTTTGTTCTCTGGGGTATCAGCACCGGAGGCTCTTCCTTTCACATCTATCAAAGAAAAATTGGATTCGCATTTTGAGCGCCCAGAGAGTGGGAAATACGAAAGTCGTCGTTTTCACTACCACATTCAGCAGCCAGGTGAGTCTGTGGATGACTTTTTCACGATGTTATGTAACCTCGTAAAGCGCTGCAGCTACAACAACTCGCTTGTCGAGGACCGTCTTGTTCGTGACATATTAGTCGTGGGCATAAGTGACCAGAGGCTGTCTCCTCAATTATGCCACTGCACAAAACTTACCGCCGAAGAAGCGCTGTGCCAAGCCCGCAATAATGAGGACGCAGAGAAAGAGCGGTTATCCCGCCATAAACTGACTGCGGGTAACGCTCTTGCTGAAGCGCTGAACATCGATTCGGCTTGTCTAAATGATACTACCACCCCTTCATCCCATTCCCGCTATCAGTCTGAACACTCGGCTGCGATATTTTGTCGCTTTTGTAGGCGTCAGCGACACCGTCGCAAGGACTGCGTGGCCCAAAAATTGGTGGGCCACTATTTCGGAAAGGTAGGGCATTTTGCCAAAGTTTGTAGAAAGAACAGAAACGACCTACTCGGATTTAACAAACTTCGCAACGTGAATTCACGCCGAGCAAGGTACACGGAAATATTTGTCAACGGGCACCCGTTAGAAGTGTCTGTACTCTCGCCATTTTTACCAGGTTGACCGCGAGTGCTAGATTCCCTTGAAGGGGAAGTCGTAGGCCCTGGTGAACAGACTCTTCACATTCTCAGTACCTTCTAAGCAATTTTACAGTGGCGCGACAGAGCCACAGTGCAGACGTTGTATGTCAATGACCATCAGCATACACACCTACTTAGGCTGCCGGCAAATAAGCACTTGGGGT